TGATGTGTTGCATTTTAAGCAGACTGTTCTCCACGTTCTGGCGTCGTCTACATCATAGGATGTCTTGGCAGCGTTGTGGTAGTAGTCCAGCAACAGTGTTCTAAATCGTACCAGTGAAAGATCTTTTTGCCTTAGATTTTCTGGCAGAGAGTTGTAAGTTCTTATTACTCTGATGAAGAAAGAACGTTGGTATGTCAGCGTCTTGCATTTGCGAGGACGGAACGAGAGTAGGTTGGTGTCAACCGAGGTTCTAGTGAGCCTTGATGGGATAATTGGCTGCGGAAGGATTTCGGAAGGATATGAGCTACTGCAATTTTGTAACAAAGAACATTAATGACAGCAGTCAGTTATTCTGCCTTTTCAAGACGTTTGAAGGCATGGGACAATCAGGAGGATTGACAATTCCACAAGATATATTTGTCAATTATATATCATCAATGGAAAGCATATTTGTGAAAGAATTGAACAGTTGCACAGAAAGGGCAAAAATAGCAAATTATATATGTTCTCAAATGCCCAAATTATCTAAAAGTGGACAGTGCCAAAACTTCCCTGGCACATATGTGTCATATTATACACTACACACGTCGCCATGTTCAACAACAATCTTTAATCATGATCACGTGCTTATCATAAATTAACATAATTATGACATCTCCCTTTCTTACTAAAGCTACATATTGTTCAACAGCTAATTAGCTTCAATTGTTCAGTACAGGTCACACTTCATAACACCGAGCATCTTGCAAGAACTGCAATACTCCAAATAACACAACAATAATATTAATGTTTATAAATGTAAACAGCTCAAGATAGTCATTCCATAACATAGTCATTCCTGAGTCGTTCAGGCAATCTAACTGCGCGGTTGCTGGTGCGCCTTACAGGTTGTGGGTCAACAACGTTATTTGGTCTAGGCTCAGGCATAACAATTTCTTCATCGTAGTCTGGTCCTAAATTGTTAGGTGGAGGCTCACTAGTGGGTAATAAATGTCTGCGATTACGACGATACACTCCACCTTGTGGTGTGGTTACTATGAAGGATCTAGGTGCTTTATGCGTACCTGTTATAACTGCTGGCTCCCACACCTTTCCTCTTCGAATTCGGGCAGACTGATACATCTTTACAGGTCGCAATGGCTTTGCATTTCTGTCGAAGTACTCTTTTTGCTTCTCGGCACGTTGCTCAAGTTTTTCACGAACATTTTCTTGAACTTTGGGCTGAAGAGGGCCGTAGTCGTAGGCAACTTCGACTTTAGCATGCGACTCATTAATAACTGAGCTGGCGATTCTTGCATTCCTGTAATTGGAGTATTCCTGTACTCCAGGAGGGCGATGTAGGGATCATTTCCTTCATCATCAGCTTTACGAAGGAGATTCTTGATGGTTTGAATTGTACGCTCACTCATGCCATTTGACTGGGGGTAATGAGGACTGGACGTTGAAATTTTGAATCCCCATTCTTGTGCAAACTGTAAACATTCCTTACTTGAAAAGGGCATATTATCTGCGACAACTTCATCCGGGATGCCGTGTCGGGCAAATACTGATTTCATACTGGTAATGACAGCTTGACTTGATTTGTCTTTAAGGAGAGAAATTTCTGGAAATTTCGAGTAATAGTCCACAATTACTAAGTAGGACTTGGACTTATATTCAAAAATGTCTGTTCCCAATTTTTGCCATGCTCTGGCAGGCACTGTGTGTGGCTTTAGTGGCTCTTTCTGATTGCTTCTTTGGTGCTTCAGGCAAGTTGAACATTTCGCTACTAATCTTTCAATGTCCGCTGACATTCCGGGCCAATAGACTACTGCTCTAGCCCTCGATTTACATTTTTCCATACCCAGGTGGCTCTCATGAATTCGACGAACAATGTCTGGTCTCAGCTTCTCTGGAATAACTAACTTCTGCCCGAAAAACAACAACCCATTGGCTTCATAGATTTCGTCTTAAAATTTCCAGTAGTGACCAACAGCCGATGGACTAGTCACTCGACTACTAGGCCATCCGTCTTTGATGAATTGGATTAACTGCTGCAGGACTTCATCTTCTACTGTTGCTGATTTCAATTCTTCAAGCTTCTCAACTGTCATTGGGAGGTTTTCAACGAGGCTTTGGATCATCTTCGTAACATCATCATTCATTTCATCAGGAACAGGGCCATCAGGAAGAAATGCTCATGAAAGTGCATCTGCAACATACATATATTTGCTTGGAAGGTAGTTGATGGTGGCATCATACTTTTGTAGTCGGAGCAACAATCGCTGGAGCCTGGGGGAGGCTTGTACCAAGGGTTTTCTGGAGATGGAAACAAGGGGCTTGTGATCAGAATCTATATCAATTGGTTTACCATAAACATAACAGTGAAATTTTTCACATCCGAAGACAACTGCGGTTAACTCCTTTTCAATTTGCGCATAGTTCTCCTCAGCAGAGCTCAGTGACCGGGATGCATATGCAACGAGGATGTCCGTCTTGTAGAAGGCAAGCTCCAAGGCCACCTTTCGAAGCATCAACTTGCAACTTGACTGGCTTTGCTGAGTCAAAAAATTTCAGGACAGGCTGACTTGAGAGGATCTGTTTCAGTTGCTCTACTGCACCAGTGTGTTCATGGGACCAGTCCCAAACTGAATCTTTCTTTAACAACTGCCGTAGAGGGTCAGTAATACTCGATTGACCTGGAATAAACTTCGAGAAAAAATTGACCATTCCAAGGAACCTTCGCAATTCTTCCTTTGACTTAGGTAAGGGCATGTCCAGGATTGCACGAACTTTCTCGCTATCTGGCTTCAAACCGATTCAGATACAATGTTACCCATGTACTTCACTTCTTTGACTTTGTACTGAAGCTTTTCTGGATTGAATTTAACATTTTCTGCTTTTGCTCTTTCCAACAGCTTTGCCATAATTTCATCATGCTCTTTTTCATCCCGCGCTGCCACAATTATGTCATCAAATATCACCTCGACACCATCAATATCACCAAACAATGCTTCATTCTTCTTCTGAAACACTTCAGGGGCTGAACACACACCAAATGGTAATCTCGTGAAGCGGAAGCGACCAAAGGGTGTATTGAAGGTGCAGAGATGGGAACTTTCTTCATCTAGGTGGATCTGCCAAAACCCATCTTTTTCATCCACTATGGAAAATAAGTTCTTACCACTAAGGCGAGTGGCAATATCCTCTGCTGTGTGAATTCTATGATGCTCCCGTTGAATAGCCTTATTCAGATCACGGGGATCCAAACATAACCGCAGAGACCCATCACGTTTCTCGACTATGACAAGACTGTTAACCCATGGAGTCAGTTTGTCAACTTTTTGCACAACACCAATTTTTTCAAGCTGCGAAAGTTTCTCTTTTAACTTTCCCAGTATGCTGTAGGGAACCTTTCGTGGTGGGTGGATGACAGGCGTGACAGTCTTGTCAACAACGATATGATATTCTCCGTCCATGGAGCCAAGCCCTTCAAACACCTCTGGGTAATCATGAATAATGTGCTCTTTAGTGGAGGGTGATGGAGCCACTTCATTAACTTTCTTGACCAGGTTTAATTTCTCACATGCCTGCAGACCTAGTATTGGGGTTGACTGGACAGTAACAACAAAGAATGGTAGCATTTCAGACTGACCATTGACGACACATCTCAGGAAAACTTTCCCCTCCGGTTTGACTTTAAAATTCCCATATGAGGTTAAAACCACACCAGTTTTCTGCAGGGATGTACTAATCTTTAGACTTGAATAAACATTAGATGGCAACACATTGGCTTCAGCTCCAGTGTCAATTTTAAATCGAACTTGTGTTCCATTTATACCCACACTCACAAACCATGCAGAACTTGTTGTGGGGCTAGTTATGGTCCCAATAAATAAACTATTTAACTCGAGTGTTGGATCATTTCTAGTGTTAGCTTCCTCAGTATTTTCTGACACTTCATCAACAGAAGAATTTCTTGACATTTGACACATTCGTGCGAAGTGTTTTTTTCTTTTACATTTGTGGCAAGGTTTTCCAAATGCAGGGCAAGATCTTACTGCATGCTTAGTTCCACATCTATTACCATCAAATAGCGACTCACCTCGAGTGGGTTTCTTTACGACATGAACTTCCGGTTCACTTGGATCAACATTTTGCTTCCGAAGCTCTTTGAGCTGTTTCGCACTTTCTTCCGCCGCTCGGCACAAACTTGCAGCTTTTTCAAGAGTGAGTTCAGACGATTCACGAAGCAATCGTTCTTTTAATCGAATATCACTCACCCCAAATACTATACGATCTCGAATCATGCTGTCCGTTTGATCACCAAATTCACATGACTTAGCTCGTGTTTTCATCTCCGTTATAAATTGGTCGATTGTTTCACCTTCTTGTTGTTTGCATTCCCAGAATTTATATCGTTCAAATACAGTATTCTTTCGAGGATTTACATAATCTTCAAATTTTTTCTTCAACACGCTCAACTTATCACGATCCTCGCCCTCGCCAAACGTAAACGTGTTGTAGATTTCGAGGGCTTCATCACCGATGAGATGAAGTAAAATTGCACAATGGACTTTTTCCGTTTCTTTGACTTTCCCTGACGCGGTCAAAAACAACTCGAATCGCTGAATCCATCGCCTCCAGTTCTCTCGCAAGTTTCCCGTCAAATTCAATGCACTCGGGGGCTTAAACGTTTCCATTTTAGGGTGTTTTTTTTATTTTTACTCCTGACACCATGTCATATTATACACTACACACGTCCCCATGTTCAACAACAATCTTTAATCATGATCACGTGCTTATCATAAATTAACATAATTATGACAGCTGCAGCGAAAGGTGACTATGTAAGTTTGAAATAAATTTATAAAAATTTTCTTAGTCTAAAATATGTTGTTTGAGTTTGAATCTTGTGTTCTAGTTTAAGTTATGTGCCTTTATGAGTTTATAATCATTTCCCAAGTTTGTTTATACCAAATTGCTTACAAAAGAATTGAAAACTCTTGACAAAATGCAGTTGAAATATAAAGAAAGCGATTTTGTCATGCATATAATAAATAAATAATCACACGGGCAAGTCGTGCAATTAATGATTAACACTACTCGTGATATTTGAAAAATGTGCCAAATTGCACTCGCCTCGGCGGCTCGTGCAATTTTGGCCCATTTTTCAAATATCACTCGTAGTGTTAATCATTGATTGCACTCCTTCCCGTGTGATTAATACCTAAACTAATAATAATAATGCCAGTGGTGTATGCAGGCCTATGTCGGCGCCACCACAGAGGATATACTACACAGAGGTGGAACTCAGCCAAAAAAGTGTAACCGGCCGCCAAAAGCTTAGCCAGTGCGCTAAAGAGAGGCATTCACCCCCCCGAACTCAAATTTCAAGATGGCGCCCGAGTGTTTCAGAAAATAAGCGGCACGAGAAACACTTGTTATTTTGCTCATAACAGTTTTCCTTTACTAAAGTTGTTATTAACATGTTTATATAATTCGTCCTTGAAAGATGTGTTGGTATGTGAAACCTTTGAAGATTATCTACCGATTTATATGGCACTGTTATTCATCGTAGGAGTGGAAAATTGAAATTCCGAAATTACCGAGAAATTAATACTCATGTGAGCCATGTCTAAAGGATTTAGAAGAAATGTATATGGTATAATAACTTATGTGCAGCTGGATATCGTTGTATTTAATATTTTGTGAAATACTTAGGCAGAAATCAGTCAAGATTTCACTATTTGATAAAAAGCATAAATGTGAGGGATGTTGGTTTTTTACATTTCAAACACGCTATATTAAAAAAAATATGATGTACATAGTTCATATTTAACATCGTTCAGGTTGCTGTTCTTTAAATGAATTTTGATTAGAGTTTCTGAATGAGATGCTGAAACAATGTGAAAGTTGGGTATTCTTTACTTTCATGTGTTGTGATGCAACATATCGGCACATGGTGGTCAACTCTAAAAGGAAACACAGTTCCTGGTGTGAGTAAATTTTTCACTATATGTCTTGACCTCATGTTTGCTGGCGAATACATGCAATTTAGCCTCATTTGCTCGCTCCCGAAGTCATTAGTGTTGATACATGTAATGTTGACCACCATGTATAACCCTATGTATAACACCTTGATGTTACCAATTGTTTACATCAGAAGGTGCATATGTGCATAACAGACTTGACCGTCTGTTCATCTCTAACCCACTGAGTCGCATTGTACACTGATGCGCCCTATTTTATTATTTTAATCGCAGGGCCGTAGGTTCAATTCCTACAGAGGACCTTGTGCTGCATTTTTCGCAGTCGTTCCTGGTCAGGTCTTAAAATGTATATAATCACTTGGATTACAAACCCTAACATTCTAATATTAATTCCACAAAGTGAAACAGGGCCGCAGAGAGGGGGGGGGGGGCAAATTGCCCCGGGCCCCGAGGTGCTGGGGGGCCCCTGAAAAATTTTTGTTGGGCCCCAGTGTTTTTGTGTGTTAAATATTTCCGCGCGAAGGACAAGATATCTGTTCTCTTCGGTTAAGAACCAAAATTTGGCATGAAAAATGAGATAAAGTCTCTGGAAAGCAATTGTAACGTACTCGTCCGGAAAATTTTTTAACCCCTAAAATGGTACACTGACCGAAAAATTTTTAGCGACGGGGGCGGGGGAGAGGTTGTCATCCTAAAAAAAAATATTTTCCGGAAAATTTTTTTAGATAGGGGGCCCCCCAAAAAAATATTTGTCCCGGGCCCCCGCCAACCTCTCGGCGGCCCTGAAGTGAAGTGCAAAGAAACCACATCATCCAAGTTCACCTTATCACAACCCGCACACCCGATTACCTATATTTACATGAACTTACGGTTACAGCTCAACAGCTGGTCTCTGGCTCAGTTGGTTAGAGCGCTGCACCGGAATCGCAGGGCCGTAGGTTCAATTCCTACCAGAGAACCATGTGCTGCATTTTTCGCAGTCGTTCCTGGTCAGGTCTTAAAATGTATATAATCACTTGGATTACAAACCCTAACATTCTTTATTATTATCTGTCTAACGCCAGATTATTTTACTCTGTCTAATGCTATACAATTTTACTCGTCAAGGGGAGAGTGCTGGCACTTATATTAGTGGGTTGACTCGTCTATCTGCCCATGATGTGTCTAGTTAACCCATTGAGTCACATTGCACCCTACTTTATTATTTTCTATCTAATGCCAGATGATTTTACTTGTCAAGGGAAGAGTTCTGGGTTAATATTTAAGTAGAATTAGCCTCTTCCACAGGCAACTCTGTATTGTTTTGTATAATAGGTTTTATATTTGGGATTTTTTCCTCCCATGTTTTGCTCTCCCCAGGCCTAACACTATTTTGCTTGAAGCTCGACCAAAATTTGATCATTTTCAAAATCAAAATGCATTTACAATACAAAACAAATAAGAGTTTAAAACCTGTTATACAAAACAATACAGAGTTGCCTGCAGTGGAGGCAAAAATAGAATATGATTTATAACAGCAGATAACATTGAATTGTAGAAATCGAAGAAAAATATAACATTCAAACAATTTATGTAAGCAATGTATTTTTCAGTCTTTTCAATATATCCACATTTATCAAATGTTCATATTTTACCATTACTTGTCTGACACTCCGGGGCTTAACACTGATACATGTAGGATAATCTATGCTGAAAAAACTGGAGGTAAACAGTTGGGGGGCTGGAAAAATTCTTCACGAGGGCCTGTACATGCAGCTGATGTAGAATCCAATGGCTTATTATTACCTATATTACAGGAAACAAAAACCTGAATCTATAGATTTACCTCTCACATTCTGGCCTATGGCCTCACTTCTACTTCCAGGGGAAGTGAAATTGTCACACTCACACATTATTAGTTTTTTCTATGGTGCATATGGCTCAAGAATTTTAACAGTGTCTGTGAAAATGTCCAATGTTTATTCAACCATTAATTCACCCTTAACCCATGCATGTACAGGCTGAAGTTATCTGGTATGCCTATATGCACATGGGGAAAATTTTGAGTACAAAAATAAAAGGTTGACCAACAATCTTGGCAACATTTTTAATCAATACACCCAGGAGTCTTACCTTGGAACTTCTTAAAGAGGGACATAAAAATCCATTTCAAAGGAATGTTGTCACCCAAATATTTGGCTTAAAAACTGTATTATGCATTTCCAGGGAGCTGGTTCAAAAACTCTTGGAAAATATTTCAAGGGGAGCCAATGAAAAACATTATTTCTGGAAACTCCAGGATGTTTTGAAGGTCTTCACCCAAAATCACTACTTAAATACTGAACACTGAAAAATATTTGGGTTTTTATCAAATTTGCCAATCATCATTTGCTTCTTCATCATAACTTGCCCAGTCTACAAATGGGAAAAATTGTTGTCAAAAATGTTGTGTCTTGGGCAGGCATTACTTATTACTTGATTAGTCTATTAGAAAGCCATGGGTAGCCTGTCCTCCCATCTAGGTGCATGCTTAACATCATTGGTGCATATAGAAATTATTTTGGAAAAGAATGTCACTATATTATTTCATACATACAAAATAAACTAAGCATCTGTTAAATTCCAATTATTATTAGCATTCACAAACAACAGTGTTACTACAGCCAAGATAGCAACAAAATATATAAATCACAGACAAAATATATAAATCACAGACACAGCTGATTGAGCTGAATGCTTATAAATGGAACTACTGAACTTAGTGAACTACAGTACATACAAGTATACAACTGTAAAATATCAGTAAAAAGTTGTAAAAACAGATTAAGTCATTAACTATATTCTGAATTCACATGACAATTGCTAATGTAACCCCCTGCACTCTTAATTCCTGACTTTCAGACAAATAGCAAAAAATAGCATGAATGTGTTATTTTAATAGTCAAAAGATTCACACCGTACCTTAAGATAGAAAAATTTTGCCGTTTGTCAACCAAATTCTTTGTCAAGCAAAGTTTCTTCCTTTCCACAAAAGATCCACGATATTTTACACAAATTTACAGGTATATTAACGCTAAACTAGCCAAGCAGGCTAAGCCCATAAACCAAAAATATGGCAAAATATTTACAATTCCCGCTAATATGAAAACAATTTTGTTGAAAAAAAAGAAAAAGAAACTGCAAATCTCTCCCAGATTTACCTCTTCCCATAGGCGAACTTGAAAATAAAAATAATTCAACAAATATCAGCGAGATTTCAGACAATATCCTTGATTTCGAAACAATTTTTTGCGATCTTTTTAGTAAAAAATGCCCGCCATTTTGTAAGTTTTCAGGGGGGGGGTGAATGCCTCTCCTTAAGCCTGGCGCACACTAGAGCTATGTGCTTAGCAAAATGTCATTCGTGACTGTTGGCGTAAGGAGAAAACTCTCGTGTGCGGTGAACTTTTGTAAGTTTTTGGTCACTCGTGACGCGTAAGCCAAATATCTAACGTGTTGAATATTTTTTGTCACGCGTGCCAAAATCTCCGTGTGTGCGGCAAAACGAAAGGAGCAAGCTTACAAGTAGCAGGCGATCAGGGGCGAAACTTGAGGGAGGTGTGACATCCCCAAAGTACAAATCATCTGGATTAGGCAGGGCAATGAAAGATTTTAAATGATAGAATGTAGAGTTATTAAGTAGATTCCAGGGCTTCCAGAGGGAATTGAATAGAATTTATAGACCTAAATTTTACAGATATTGGTAAAAAAATAAGGGTTTCAAGCATGTTTAGTAGGAATTTGTCCGAAAAAATTTTTGTGACCCTTAATTTAATTGGTTTATGTACCGAAAAATTTTTTCGCCCCTTTTTTGAAAGTCCGGAAAAATCTTTTCGACCTCAATCCCCCCACCCCCCCCGCTCGCCAACATTTTTGGGAGAAATAGTGCCAAAAAAAATATTTGCTGCAGGGCATCATCGGTTTTCGCAGGGCAATTCTAGCAGACACCCCCCTAATTAAAAGGGGCTAGTTTCGCCCCTGCAAGCGATGGAATTTTATATATGAAATATTTGATATATGAAATCTTTATGTGGAATTGAAACAATTTCATATATGAAAATTTCATATGTGAAATATTTCATATATGAAATCTTTATATGTGGAATTGAAACAATTTCATATATGAAATATTTGATATATGAAATCTTTATGTGGAATTGAAACAATTTCATATATGAAATCTTTATGTGGAATTGAAACAATTTCATATATGAAAATTTCATATATGAAATTCAATTCATATATATGAATTTCAATTCATATATATGAATTTCAATTCCATATACCGATTTCATATATGAAATTTTCATATATGAAATGTTATGTGAAATTTTTGTAAGGGTATATATATAGCTTACGTTTTTGATTTACGAAACACAAACAGTGCTCAATACCATATAGATAGAGCGTAACATAGTTTTTCATTTTACCTTTAAGTCAGTAAAAACGTTTGCGCATAAAACCACTCTGATGGAACATAAATTAAATATAATGATGTTCATGCCCTTCTTGAGTCTCTACGTTTACATAACTCTGTCATATAGCTGTATATATATATACTGCTGTGTCCTGCGTGTGACTGATTTGGTTTGAATTGCATGATATATTAAACAATACGAAATAATTGAGAAAACATACATACATACATATACATATCTCAGGTCGAAATATACCCTCTCAAGTCAGTATTCAGAGCTGAAAATGACACATATATATTGGATTGGCATACTGTAGACTGTTTTGACCTGTGAAATTAATTTCGAATGATACAGTATATACCAAATATGTTTTCATTTTAATCATTTGAGGACGTTCTATAGCGCCACTGGTTAAGAAAATATGGCACATCTTCATAACCTGCCAGCAAAACATGGCACATATTTCTGGCACAAGAGTTTTCACTAGGTAGAACCTCACATGCTGCACGCGTATATTCTCTACAGATTTCACTGGTTAAGAAAAGATGGCACATCTTCATAACCTGCCAGCAAAACATGGCACATTTCTGGCACAAGAGTTTTCACTTAGAAGAACCTCACACGCGTAGATTCTCTACAGATTCCACTGGAAAAAG